GGAAAAGAGAAGCTCCAGTACAGGAAGGTGCTCAGAAAAGCTGTGTCACTCCACCAGCCCTTTTATTTTGATGGGTTTTTTGAGATAAAGTCTCACAAACTACTTGCCCAGGGTTGGCTTTGAACCGCAATCCTCTTGAACTCCGCCTCCTGAGTACCTAGGATTACAGGCTTGAGCCACTGGCACTGGCCCCTCAATTTCTTAATTTACATCTAATATGCAAAGACTGTATTTCCAAATGAGGTCATTTGGTACCAGGAGTTAGGACTTTAACATCTCTTGGAGGGCCACAGTTCTATCTGTAACATCTGTAATAATCAAATGTCAGAAACAACACTGGAGTCCTCAGCTGAACAGACACACCTAATTGCTACGGTGACCCTGGCTTCTCCACAAAGCAGGGGATCCAAGGGCTCAGATGGGATAAGGAAGCTATGGTTGGGACAGGAGCTGCTTTGGCTACTGTTTATGGGCCTGAATAGTTGCAAGCTTTGTTGTGACACAATTGAGAGACCTGGCTCAGCCAGTCTCTGTTCACTCAGTCAACAACTCTTCATTGACTTCTTGTGTGCCAGGAGCTGGGCGGGGAGCAAGGCAGACAGGCCGGATTCATTCCGTCATGGGCCCATGCTTCAGCAGGGTGACCTCAAGGCGAGCCAAAGGGCATAGTTACAAAGTAGTATCTGTGCTCCAGCAGGGAGAATCCTGTGGCTATTTATTTTTTTCCTTACTCTCCTCCCTGGGCCCCCTTTTTATAACCACCTCTCTCTTGGACACCTAGAGGTGTTACAACAGCTCTGTGAAATAAAGGGACTAGAGTGATCCTAGTGGACAAAACAATGACTAACTGCCCAACTAATGGGATTGAAAAATGGAGGGCAAGGGTTGGGGGGTGTGCCTTAGCCCCCAATTGGGCTCAGGTCTCCCCCCAACTGGGCAGTGTGTTCACAGCTGATTTATGGTCAGTATGATGTCTGTGGCAGATTCACGGCCAATGGATGACAGCTCCTGAAATTTTTACTGAGTAGAAGATGTGGTTGCCAGGCTCTTTTGGCTCATTCCTGTAATCCTAGCTACTTAGAAGGCTGAGATTGGGAGGATTAAGGTTCAAGGCCAGACCAGGCAAATAGTTCAAGAGACCCTATCTCCAAAACAACCATAGCAAAACAGACTGGTGTGGCTCAGGTGGTAGAGCACCTGCTTTGCAAGTGAAGCCCTCAGTTCAGACCCCAGCCCCACCAAAAAAAAAAAAAAAAAAAAAGGTGTGGAGTCTACTGCCTCCCCCTCTTCACTAGTCCTTACAGGGCATGGTTCCTGGGATGCCTGAAAGGCAGGCCAAATCCTGGTCATTCTAAGGCTAATGCTGAAAGAGGCACTCCCCTTCATGGCTGTCATGGCAGCTGAGCCGTGTAGCTCTCAAATCTGAGCCATCTCCATCCCCACAGCCATGGTCTCAGCTCCTACACCCAGCAACCCTTTCCAATCTGCCTCCCTTCAGGGAGTTCAAACACCAGTCAGACCAGGAAAGGCCTGGGCATGCACTGGCCTCCACTGGCCATTTCCGCGTGCCCAATCCTGCTTGTTTCTCTTCAGTCTATTCTTCAGGTACCAACACCATAGCAGCCTCACCTCTCTGTGCTCTGTCTAGAATTCCCTGTCCAGCTGGTTAATGCCTGATTCTTGGAGATCCAATCCCATCAGCACCTCTGGGCAAGTTAATTGTCCCCTTCTCAGAGTTCCCACCTTCTCTTATCAATATGCCATAGCTTACTTCTTTTCTTCTTCTTCTTCTTCTTTTTTTTTTTTTTTTTGTTGTTGTTTTGAGGCAGGGTCTACCTAAGTAGATCAGGCTGGCCTCAAACTGGAGAACCTCTTGTCTCCAAAGTGCTGAGATTATAGGTATGCACCGCCAGCCTGCCATAACTTCCTTTTCTTTCCCTCCATGAGACTGGAGGCTGGCAGAGTGGCTCAAGCCATAAGGATGCCTGCTTAGCAAGTGTGAGGTGCTGAGTTCAAACCCCAGTGCTGCAAGAAACAAAAAAAATTCACAAGGCTGGGACCTGTCTGATTATTCCATGATTCTACACTCCCAGCCCCACCCTGTGCCTATACTAAGAGCTGGCACAACAATGAAAACTCATTGAGTGGAAGAAAGCTAAGGTGCCACCTATCCGACCATGCATTATGTACTTTTATGATTCCAAATGAATTTTGATTTTGTGACCTAACAGTTTTCTGGGTGTGAGGTTTCATTGTCCCCCTTACTCTGTAAGTATCACAAGGAAATGTAAGCAAGCCCGGGCTGGACCCAAGATGTTTGTGGATGGAGGAAGGGCTTTTTAAGGAGGCCTCCCCTTAAAGATGGGGGCTCCCAAGGGAGGCTCCCTACTTCTCCCATTCTGCCACTAATCCCTTCCAGAAGTGGGTCCTATCTCTTTGGTGCTTCCCTAGGCGCCCCAGGACTTCTCATGCTCCCACCTCAGCTGTGGTAGACATCTGTCACCTTCCTTTGAAGCCTGCTCCTGGGAATAGCAGGGCCCGAGGTGAATAAGGTAGGGTGGGTGCTTACAGGGGTGGGCCCATTGGTGAGTCAGTATACCCACCAAAAGCCTGGAAGTCAAACCTGCTAGGATAGGGAGGGAGTGCAGAAAAGAAAATAGCTCATGACCTGTTCTGTCATGGGGGCAGGCTAACACTTTGAAGTTGGGGAAATACACCCCTCTCTCTTCACCAACCCTTAGGATGAAGTTCTAGGCTAAAAGGAGATTCACCTGGCCCATCAAAGGAGAAAGCCACTCCAGCCTTCCTCCTGGCAAGACTAGCAGGCTGTGATTACATAGTCCTGGGAACCAGGCAGTCAGTACTTCAGGCCACTGAAGTCTTGGAAAGTCACCCTGTTCCCAGGATCCCTTTAGCTTCGAGAATGCAAGACCTCTTTTAAGTTTTATCTTTTTTTTTTTTTTTTTTGCAGCACTGGGATGTGAACTCAGGGCCTACACCTTGAGTCACTCCACCAGTCCTTTTTCTGTGAAAGATTTTTTTCAAGATTGGGTCTCATGGAACTATTTGCTTTGAACCTCGACCCTTTTGGGTCTCTGTCTCCTGAGTAGCTAAGATTATAGGTGACAGCCACCAGCATCCAGCAGTTTAATCATTTCTTTAAGTGCTGAAGCTCAGGAGTGGCGCAGGGTACCTTAGTTGTCAGAACAGATGACATTCTTGCCACCCTTCTTGGCCACCTAGGTCACACAAGCACACCTAAACCTCTTGACCCTCCCCAAGGAGTCATCAGAAACAGCAAATTAAGGTAGGGGTAGCTTATGTCTACAATCCTAGCACTTGGAGGTTGAGGCAGGGAGGATCAAGAATTTAAAGCCATCTTGGGCTACAGAGATCCTGATAAAATACAAACAAACCAAAAAGGGGGACAGGAAATCAGGGAGGACAGCCAGTGACAGTCTGGATAACAGAGCTCACTGATCCAAAGTGCAAGCAGAAATATTGGGGGAGGGAGGAGGCCTCTTTAAAAAGCCCCTCCTCCAGCCACAGAAACCTACCTCTTGTCACCAGAATTTATTTCAGAGTTCTATCAGCAAAATGACTTACAAACACATTCATCCCCATCTCCTCCTATCCAGGGGTGCTGCTGAGTTGCAAGGGGTGGGGTCTGTTCCTGAGACCTTGGAGTCAATACCACCCCCTCCTGCTCTTCCAGCATACAACTCCCCCCTCCATCCCCCCCACACTCCCCAGCTGACTTGGAGTTGGGAAGAGCGGCATCCAAGGTTGTTATCTCCTCAACACAGCTGTGCAGGGCTGGAGGCAGCAGCTTATCAGGGAGCCTGCAGTGATTCACAGCCCAAGTCCCAGCTTCTCTGCTGAATAGTAATTTCCAGCAGTGGATTTGTGCTGTCTCTCTCCTCCCCCTCTCCCAAGGGTGTACTGTCCTTTTGCAGAAAGAGGGCAATGAAGGGGAGATTCTGCTCATGGGAATGAGCGCTTTGTGCCAGCTTTCTGGGTAAGGCTGTCTATTGGGAGGAGGCTGCAGGCTTAGAGACCTTGGCAGTGTCTGTCATCCTTGGCAGTGACCCCTAGGAGAGCCCATCCCCCCAAAACAATGTGCTGCTCCCTCTCCCTTTGTGTGGATGCACAGGGGAATACAGGCTCCCTTCTAGCCACAAGTTTCTCAGGGCAGAGTCAGCCAAGCAGGGCAGGAGAGAAAGAAGTCAGGGACTGGGCAATATGCTCCTGGCACCATTTTGAACCTGCAGTCTCTGTGCCTGACACTGAAGATTACAAAAGCTATGGCTGGACGAGGACAGAGCTCCAAAGGCGCAGGCTGAGACACAAGGAGTGGGGATGGGTGGAGGCCAAAGCACCTCTACACAGGCAGGTGGGTAGGAAAAAGCCTGAAGACAGCAAATTTTTGTGTTTGTTTTATTTGAAGCAGTACTTCAGGTGTGGGGCTCAAGGGAGAAGGAATGGGAAGTTCTGTCCTGGCTCTCTCCCTCTGAGCCAGCATGGGGAAGGGAGGATGTTAAGACGAAGGAAAACTAAAGGGGGTGGGGGCACATTAGGGCCCCACATCTTAGACTCCCCTACCCTCAAACAGTTTCCCACCCTTGCCCTTCTCTGTCAACAGTGGGGGCGATTCCAAGAGCGCTCTTCAGCTGTCAGAGTCCGGGTCCCCTTCACGAAGAGTGGGCGCCTTTAAACCTATGGTCAAGAGTCCCCCTGCCCACCATTCCCTCCCCGAATAAGGTCCCAGTATGGCCCAGAAAAGGTGAAGTTTTGCGTCTTCGGGTAACAAATCTCACGACGCTTCTCTGGGCTGGTTAGCATCCTCTCGTGTCACTCCTGGGTCCCCTCACTTTTCGCCTTGAGGTCATGCTCCCAGTCTGAGAACCTGTGTCCAGGACTCCTAAGGACCCAGATGTGAAAGGCTGGAGGTGTTGGCGATAAAGATCCAGCCGGTCTAGGTGGCCCAGCGCAGGGAGCTCTCAGGCAGTCCGGTCCTCGTCCCCAGCCCCTGACTCGGGCTGAGACCGCTTGGCGGTGCCTTCTCCAGCTGCGGGTTCCCGTAGGCTCCTCTTGGCCGTCGGCGCGGTTGGCGGAGATGAAGGACCAGGATGGGAGTTCGGAGGCTGGTAGCCAGGTTGTCGCGGATCCAGCGCGTCTTTGGAAAGCAGGATGGCAAGGCCGGGCACGTTCTTAAGTACACTCAGACTGGCGGCCGGTTCGCCAGGCGTCTGACCCGGCGTGGGCCCGGGCGGGAGGCTCTGCCACACCTCGCGCACGCTCCGGTAGCGCAGCCGCGTGACCTGGTGTAAGCCCGCCAGGCGGCGCTTCAGGATCTCGGCGCACGTGACGGTCTTGGTGGTGGCCCGGCCGCAGCCGCTGAAGACGATGGCGCGCGTGGATGGCTGCGCCATGCTTGCGGTGGCGAAGGCCAGCAGGTTGCGGATCTTACTGCCCTCCTTGACCCTCATATGCACGGCGCCGGGCGCCAGGTCGGCGAAGGGACCCGAGCTCGGGCCGCCCCCTTCGGCCCCATTCCCGGCCGGCGCCTCCTCGGAGCGCACCTTACGGAAGTTCTCCATGCGCCGTCGTCTTCGGGACCTCCGGCTTTGCCATGGGGCCGCCTCAACCCCAGGGCTGCATGGCCACGGGTGGCGCCCGGCTAGGGCCGGCAGGGGTAAGGGTGCGGGAACTGCGTGGACGAGGGCGGGCGGGCTGGGATCGCGCGATCCTCGGTCTTCACTTCTCCCGTGGGCGCTGCTCTACTCCGCGCTCTCCGCGCCTTGTGCTCCGCGCCTTTAGCGGAGGCCCCGCCCGGGAGTCCGAGAGGCCCCGCCCTGTGCTCCAGGCCCCGCCCCCTCTCCTGCCCGGTCCGCCCCCACCCCCGCCTTTCGGGTGAAGTCAGGGTCCTCAGCTGGCCTGGGGTGTGAGCTGTCCACTGCGCGGGTCGCATTAGCAGCTCCAGGGGGTGACTTGGAAGCGAAGTTCCCTTTCAATCGCCATCAGTCCTCTCCGAACCAACCCTTATAAAAGAGCTATCTGAAAAAAAACTGTGGTTGCGGTGCTAACGCCGTTTTCAGCCAGATCCTGTGTCCTGCCCGGTTCGTTTCAACTGAAAGGCGTCCCTAGTCCCCTCCGAGGGAGAGATATTTGAGCGGCTTGCCGGGGTCTCGCTCCCCCAACCCTCAGGGGAGCCCCCTCCCTTCTCCTCCCGAGTATTCTTGCCTCAAGGACAGCCAGTGCACGGTCAGCAGAGTGCGGGAGGCGCTGGCTGAGGCTCCACGCCGCGTCTCTCCTCTAACGACTTGGTGGTGGAGCGGTCCTCGCTGGGCGGCCAGAGGCCGAGGTTTCGGCCTCGCCACGGTTTGCTGGACCTCCAGGCTCCTGGGTCCCCACACTCCCCTGGGGATTGGGGGAATGATGCTCTGCGCCAGTCTCTTTCCTAAAGTGAAGGGGGGAAGAGAACAGGAGACCCCTCCTCAAGAAGCTCTAAGCTCCCCGCGACCCTTGCCTGAAAGTCCCTTTTTTAAGCCACATGCTTTAGGGCATGGCCAGGCATTATGTCCTGCTAACGTGGAGTTTCCTTCTCCCAGGTGGATTTCCTTGTAAGTCAGGCTTGACTTCTGGAGACGGAGTGGATTCCTTTTTAGAAAAGGAGACTGAGTGAAGGCAGGTTTTGAGAGAGAGGCGAGAAAGGGATGGAATTGACGCCTTACTGACATTACAAAGCTACTGGGTACCCTTTGTGAAAACTCCATAGGACCGAAGGAGAAACTGGGGTCTGAGGCTAGGAGGGATGAACAGTAAAGAGACGAGGCCGGCCTGAAGGACTGATGGTAGGGAGGGGGTTTGATAAGGAGCCGACCCTATCTAAAATTGTCCCAGGGCCTTGCTCTTCATCTTCCACCCTCCTTACAGAGCAGGGCAGATTTGGTCCTGGTGCGGGTAACTGACAGACGCGACGGGGAGGAGCACAGCGCCCAGGGGCCAGCAGGCAACCCCAAAAGTACTGGGGGCGCGACAGTGCCTGGGGTTGCAGGGCTTCAATCAAGGAACGCCGGGCCCTGTTCTCCGCCTTCGCTGTTGTTCTCGCCTGTGACAGTGAAAGACCTTTGCTGTTCCGAATCCAGGGTTTACCCCCTTATCGCCCCGTAAGAGTGGCTGCAGCCCCTGGACGTTTGTGCGGCAACGTAGGAGTGGCTGGCTTCCTCCCGATCTGCTCGCGCGTTGGGACCAGGGATCCTTGCAGTGTTCTCGGAACAGGGACTCTAGCCCGGTCCCAGCTCCTGAGGGCTCCAGGAGCACAACCTCGGGAAACACGGCAGTCTCCGAAAGACATAAAGACTGTGTGTAGTGCGCACAGGCCGCGGGGAACCGCGCGCTCTGCAAGGCCCAGGCGGTGGTAGGACTTACAGGACGGCAGTTTCGGATAGGCCCGAGGAAAAGTCCCCAAAAGACAAGCTACGTGGGAATGGGTTGGTTGAGGAAGAGGCGAGCTCTCTGTTCCTGGGAGAACACAAGCCCCGGCCGAACACTCACTCGGGGGTGATATAGGCTGCAATTTGGAGGAAGGGACCTGGACACTACGGCTTGCGAAGGGTGAGGATGGGGTGGCCGTGCATCCATCCAGGTTGGCCTCAAGGGCGCAGTCGCCGCCACCCGCACCACTGTCCTCTGCGGTGGAATGCTCTCCCATTCACTTCAGTCCTGAGTGGATGGAGGGAGAACGCCGAAAAGGCCCGCTTTCCCCCTGCGGGTCCCCTCCCTCTGCAGCACTTAAAATGGAAATGCACATCGTGCTTAGTCGCGGGGTCGCTAATTACAGCTGAAGCCATTCATTACGCTGTCAGCGCGCGGCGCAGCCCGCAGGCTGTGCGCTCCTGGCCGGCTGCGGCGGGGCAGTGGTGCGGGGGCTGCGAGGACGCGGGGACTGACTGAGTCCGCATGGAGAGGAGGGCCGGAGCCAGCGCAGGCGGAGGGGGGTAGTGTGTGTGTGTGTGTGTCGGGGGGTCCTGAGGTGTCGGGGGAGGGGAGAAACGCAGGAGGCGGGAAGGAATGGGGGACAAGCCAGGATACAGGGGAAGGGGCAGTGTGAGACTTCGCGAGCCCGCGAAGGGACAAAACGCGGGAAACGGGCAGGCTCCCCAGGGAAGGGGACAGACGCTGCAGGGAGGGGAGCGAGGGCTCGGTGCAGGGAAGAGGGTAAGTAAACCCAGACTGTGCAGCACACACGCCCTGGTTACACACGTGGAATACCAGGACGCTGTGCTAAGAGCGAGTGTCCTCCAAACACACAGTAGGACCCTTTTTTTTTAAGCGCTGTTTCCACGTATAGTGTATATATACATTTGAATGTATTTTTTAAAATACCTACAAGAAGACTGCACGTTGGTATCTGTTACATTTGCAGCCATATAGAGTTTTGTTGCCTTTTTTAAGAAAAGGACTACTAAATTAATTAAGTACAGTACAAAGTCTTGAAATAGCTTGTATAAATGAGGTACTGACCCTGCATGGAAGCTTCATTAGCTTCTTTCTGCCTCCTTGTGACCTTAGACGATTTACTTAACCTTGGTTTACCATCTGTGAAATGAGGCTAATTATGAGAGAACCTTGGCTGCTAACTTCTCAGGATGCATTGATTGTTTATTCTTTTTCACAAATTATTTGTAAGTAAGTTTTTGTTTTGTTTTGTTGTTCTGTTTTTTGGCGGTACTTGGGTTTGAACTCAGGGCTTTGCCCTTGCTAGGCAGACACTCTACTGCTTGAGCTACACCTCCAGCCCTGTGATTAAGTTTTAAAAAATAGTAAAGGGGAGATGAGAAAAGCTGGTGAAAAGAAACAGACATAGAGAAAGCCTTGGACATAGCAGCTTCCCTAGTATGTTAGGGACTGGTGAGTGGTGAATGAATTCTTCTTACTGTGGGAAGGTGCTGATGGGTGGCCAGGCTGGAGAAGGCACTGGCTCCAGCCCCTTTTCTGCAGAAGCACTTTCCAGCAAACACACTGGCCTCAGTGGCAAATCTCTCACTCCAGACCAGAGGGAGATCCCTGATGCATGGCAGGTCTTCTCTTCCTCTGACTCCTGCTCCAGCAAGGCAAGGAGAGCTCTTGAACGGGTCCTAGTCCCGGCCTCTGGTGGAGTCAGGAATCAGGAAGTTAGGGTGTCAGAGGGAGCACAGATTTCTTAGGAACCCACCAAGTGCCCAGCATTGGGCACTCTCAAAGGACTGTTCCCTGATTTGACTCCTTCCTGTCAAGGAGGGTGTCATCAGATTGTCTGATAGATGTGGAAACTGAGTCGGAGACAGATTAAGTAACTTGCCCAATGTACCACAGCTAGAAAGTAGCAACCACGGATATTGAAATCCAGATACTCTGGCCTTAGTTGAGTATAAAGAAAAAAGAAACTTTTAATTATTTGTGTTTATTTTAATTAATTCATTTATATTTGGATTTTTTTTTTCCAGTTCTGGGGTTTGAATTCAGGGATTTGTGCTTGCTAGGAAGGTACTCTACCATTTGAGACACTTCACCAGCCCTACCATTTTTGGATTTTTGATCTTTTTTTTTTTGGCCATACTGGCGTTTGAACTCAGAGCCTCACCTTGGTAGGCAGGTGCTCTACCACTTGAACCACTCCACCAACCCTACCATTTTTGGATTTTTGAGACAAAATTTTGCTATGTAGCCAAGGCTGGCATGGAACCTGAGATCCTTCTGCCTCAGTCTCCCAAATGCTGGGGTTACAGGCATGTACCACCATGTCCTAGTAAAAGAAACTTAAATGACTTAAGTTGTGCAAATAAGGTATGGGTTGGCTTTGGGGACAGGGAGGGTTTCCAGAGTGGGGAAGATGTACTGGTTATCTATTACTACATTAAAAAATGCCCTGGCGGGTGGCTCAAGCAGTAAGAGTGCCTGCCTAGCAATCATGAGGCCTTGAATTCAAACCCCAATGCTGCCAAAGATAGATAGATAGATAGATAAATAGAGAGAGAGAGAGAGAGAGAGAGAGAGAGAGAGAAATCCCCACAATTCAGCAGCTTAAACACATAAATATGTATTACCTCACCATTTCTGAGGGCCAGAAAGTCAAGAGCAGTGTGGAAGGCTGCACTTAGCTCAGGATTTTGCATGAGTCTGTGGACAGTCTGTTGGCTGGGCTGGAGGAGACTTTTCCAAGCTTACTCCCATGTTTGTTGGTCAGAGGGTCCCCGTTCCTCCACTAGGGTCAGGACACTGTAGCTGGCTTCCCCCAGAGTGGGAGGTGAAAGACCATGATGTGAACGGGCAGGAAGCTGCTTCTTTTGTGGCCCAGCTCCTCTGAAGTTATTTGACATCATTTCTACTCCACTTCCACTTTATTCTATCAGTTGGAAGGGAGCCCAGCCCATATTCAAAGGAGAGGAATTAGCGTCCTCTTTTTCTTTTTTTGTGGCTGTTTTTTGAGACAATGTCTCACTATATAGTGAGGCCTTAAACTCACCATCTCTTGCTTCGGCCTCCCCAAGTGCTGGGATTACAGGTATGAAAAACCACACCTAGCTTTAGCTTCCACATCTTGAAGGGAGGTATATCA